CTCAAAGCATATTTACATAGGAGCTGGGCCAATGCCAATGAGAGAAGCAACAACCAGTTAGTTAGATGGTAGAATAAATCCCATGCATGTTTACTGTATGTCACAGGCTCTCACTTTACTTTACTAAATAATCAGTATGTACTTACTTACTTCCAGTGACCTTATCCTACCTTTCAATAAGTTGGAAGTGAAGCCTTTTGTCTGTAAACATATAAAAATGAAAATACAAGAAATAAAAAAAAAGATTCTATGCAACTGTGTAATGCACAGGAAACATGTACAATTATACTATATTTTATATGCAAATCTGTAATGCTTAGGACCTGCAGTAGGAACAATTCATTATCAAATGGGACTCTTTGGAGATAAGACATTCAGAATTGGCGAAAATTGAAGAAATCAGGATTGGCATGTTCGAAAGGAAAGCGCATGAATGGAGCACTAAAAATAAACCTTGCATGACACCTGAAATCAACATTCAAAAGCAGCAATGTGCAGGACACTGAAATCAACAGTTCCAATAATCAGTTTAGGATTTGAAGCACAAAACTGGGCACAAGCAACAAAGCATAGAGCTGGCTGGGTCAAAGATAAAGATAGTAATAGTATATACTCATTCTTATCGATGTTTCAGAACATTCTTACACACTCTTACAGTGGAAGTTGCTCCAGTCAGCAGTAATAGCCGAAGCCTACAACAAGGAATGCGTTAACATCATCAACCATCACGGGGACTGGGAGAACATGCTAGGGACAACCCACATAGGTTGCACTAAATTGCTAGAGCTTATGAAAACAAAGCTGTTTCGGCTGGAGGCAGGCTTCACCAGCTCAAATGCAGCCCAGTGTTCGGAATCATGGGAATAGTAGTACACGCAGTTGCTCCTCCCTCCCCACCTTTCCGGGTTCCTGAAAGATAATGGCTGGCTTCTCTTGTCGGTGCTGATGAAGATCGCCCAATTCTCCAACTCCTCCACCTTCACCCACATTGCATGTTCAGTCCACTGGTCAAGGCGGAAGACTTCAAAGGTATCCCCTCTTGCCGGAAACGACCCCTGACACCCGACCAAGAGAAGCATAACACCACATGCCACCAGATATAAGTTGGCAAGATGACCTAGGGGGATTTCCTCTTCTGGTGCTACTGCTGTGCCGCCCTACAACTTTGCCCTCGACGTCATCACGACTCCGCCATTCTACTTCAGCAACCTTCTCCCGGTTAAACTGGAGATGGACAACTATTTGTTCTGGCGTGCGCAGATTCTTCCCCTCCTCCGTAGTCACTACCTGGAGGGTTTTGTGGATGTAACTTTGCCATGCCCCTCGCCGGATCATCATATGTACCGGCCGTGGATTGCTCAAGATCAAGCGATTTCTTTCGGCGATTCAGTCCTCTCTCACTGAGGGCGTTGCCGGCTTGGTGCTTTTTGCTACTACATCTCATGAGGTGTGGAGTGCGCTGGAGTCTAGCTTCTCCGCCCAATCCTCGTCTCAGAATATGGCTCTTCATACTCAGCTCAATGAGACACGGAAGGACCATCACTCCGTCACCGTTTTCTTCAACAAAATCAAGCGCCTCGCTGATCAGCTCGCCTCTATCAGTGAGCCCCTTCGTGACACGGAGTTTACTACATATATCCTCCAAGGTCTCGATGCCGAGTATGATTCTCTTGTGGAGGTGATCCAGGAATGCAAGGTTCCCATCAAGACATCACGGAGACTGTGAGAACATGCTAGGGACAACCCACATAGTTGCACTATAAATTGCCAGAGCTTATGAAAACAAAGCTGTTCCGGCTGGAGGTAGGCTTCCCCAGCTCAAATGCAGCCCAGTGTTCGGAATCATGGGAATAGTAGTACACGCAATTGCTCCTCCCTCCCACCTTTCCGGGTTCATGAAGGATAATGGCTGGCTTCTCTTGTCAATTGCTCCTCCCTCCCACCTTTCCGGGTTCATGAAGGATAATGGCTGGCTGCTGTTGTCAGTGCTGATGAAGATTGCCCAATTCTCCAACTCCTCTACCTTCACCCACATTGCATGTTCAGTCGACTGGTCGAGGCGGAAGACTTCGAAGGTATCCCCTCTTGCCGGAAACGACCCCTGACACCCGACCAAGAGAAGCATATCACCACACGCCACCAGATATAGATTGGCAAGATGACCTAGGGGGATTTCCTCCCAACTGACTCCCATCATCCGTACACGAATCCAAGGTGCCAAGTGCACAACAAAGAGCATGCCACCAGAGTCCAAGCCGAAGACCTGGCCTTTGAAGGTCACAATCTGCTGGACAGTTCCATCACAAGGACAAGCTCTCAACCAAGAGCGACTGCCAACACGCCAAAATTAACTGTGGGATTCGTTGGTGACAATGAGATGTGGGTTGGGTGATTCTACAGGAGCCGTGAGGGCACCGTAGTAGACCTCGGTGGATTCGTCGCCCGGTATCTGTGGTGGTGAAAAACTAACACCTGTAAACACATCAACAATGACACATGATCTGTTTCTGGAGAAGATGAGATGGCCATAAGAAGCACCCAGGAAGCAATAACTGCCCAGAGAATTTTTGGGGTCATTATTTGCTCGCGAAAGATTAACTAGGGGAATCTGGCAGCAAATGCGCGAGTGCTGGCTGGCTGGATCAATGACATGACATGGATGTTTATCGCCAGAGGGGCGATGACATGGAGAGCGCACAGGGACATCCGGTTGCAGGAGCACAGGCGGGAAGATCGTCAAGAAGGTAGCACGCCAAGAGCGGCAGGTGCGAGCGAAGGCAAGGAGGTCGGAGAAGGAGCTTGCCAGAGCAATGATGGAATGATGCAGCACATCTGGCAGGTCTGCCCAACCTTGTTCTCTAGGGGCCAATAGCTCCTGTGCGACGTTTTTCATGTGAATTGGAAGGAGTGCGACGTTGTTGGAATGAATGGCTGCGATGCGACGTTTTAGAAGCAAACAATAGCTCCAATGCGACATGGCTCTGTTTAACCATGAAATGAAAAACACGAGGGGTTAGCGATTCGAGTTATGACACGCGTGACCTAGAAGTTACTCGCATGCGGGTGGGACCCACAACTTATCCATGCAAGCATGCCCGTGCTCGCATGCGGGTGGGACCCACAACTTATCCACGCAAGCATGCCCCGACCCGAGCCAGCCACGAGCCCGAGCCAGCCCACCCTACCCCCCGCCCTCCATTGCTTGCCCTGCCCCTTTCCTTTCCCACCTTCTTCTTCCTCTGCTCCGGCAACGAAGCGCGCCGCCGAAGAGTGATGTCTAGCTCGACTTCGGTCTCCCGCCAATCATGGACGCAGTATGGTCCACTGCCGTTGACAAGATGCCCCGATTGCCCGCGCATGGAGCCTCTGAAGCGTTTGACTTGTGTGAGGGAAGAAAATGGCAACCGTGGGCGCGAGTTTGTGAAATGCTTGAGCAAGCCACAGCCGGGGCAGGTTAGATCTGTGTTCTTGACCAATCCTATGGTCTCCTTTCTCCCGATTTCTTTCTTTTTTCCTCGAATTAGGGCGGTGGATCTGGGTGGTGGATCTAGGATTCATGCGCCTCCGGCGCACTGTTTTTCGGGTTCTGAAGAAATGTGGGCATTTTGAGTGGCTCGATGACTATGTTGAAAGGTTGAAATTGGAGGGATCAACCGGAACCCAAGAGCTCAATTTTGGGGGGCGGCTTGCCGTGGAACAAGCCCCCAATTTGGCGGACAGAGCCGATCCGATGATGCACAGTGCAGAACTGAAGTGTGAACTGAAGAAAATTGGCAAGTAACTAAAGCATCTGATCGATTTGAAGCAGCAAGCAAATATGATGGTTGGAGCATTTTATGGTTGTGTCATTGCTATGGGTTTATTTTACTTGATGTTCATCAATCGCTAGAATTTGTTAGAGTTTCAGTTAGTGTGTCCACTAGTTTCAGGGGATTTGTTAGATGAATTTGAATTAGTGTGAAGCAAAACTTGCTTGAATTATTGTAATAATATTCTCAGGGGCCCTATTCAGTGTTCATGCTCTGTTTCCTCTGTTTTTGTTCTTCAGTTAACAGAGTACACACCCAAATTCAGTTTCTAGTAAAGAAACAAAACTGGGCTGCCGAATAGATGTTGGGCCGTGAGAAAATGGGCCCTGAGAAAATAACCATGCCCAAGACCAGCCCACCCGCGTAGGGGCACCAGCCCACCTCTAACTTCGGCAAATAAAATGGGGCCCAATAAAATGTTACTTGTCCTTTTATTTTGCCTTTTTCTTGCACTAAATTTTGTGATGGATAATTTTTTGATGCACTAAAGCTAAATGTTAATTGTTTTTATGCATGTCTACTGTTCCATGAACTAAATGAGTTGCATGCTTGCATGAAGTGCCCGAAGTAAATTAGTTTGCATTTTCTAGTTGCACCCATGTCCATAGTGGGTTTGCATGGGGCTCCTAGTTGCATGTCCATGGTTTGGCCAATATTTTGAAAATGTTGTGTGTGGTGATTGGGGTGTAGAAATCCGGGCCCGTAGCAACCCATAGCAATACACGAATAATAAGCAAAAACAGCCCCTAGCAATCCACAAATAATAGCAGAAAACACAAAATATATATAGTAGCATACCCAATGATTATATAGAAGCATAACGATTATATAGAAGCATACCCAACGATTACATAGTAGCATACTCATAGTTCCACGGGGCATGATAGCCTTACAACTTAAAGTACTAATAAAACTTAATAATAGTAGCATAACTATTACAACTTAAAAAAACTAACACGATAGATCTAAGCTAGATAGATAGGGGGCACAAAACGCGGGTTCTTGGGGTTCTTCTTCTCCTCCTCCTCCGGGGCCACCTCGCTCCTCGGGCGCCCTCGCTCCTCCGGGCGCCGCCCTTCACTCCTCCCCCTCCCTGTTGTTGATGTGGTACGGGAGCGTGTGCATGACGCCGTTGTTGGGGAAGATGCCGTTGAAGTCGGTGAAGATATTGTAGGTTGTGAAAGCTATGAACTCACAACCTACCCAAAACGCTCGCCCGAGGAGATGGAACGCATCGAAAGGGTTAGTGAAAGTGGCGAGGAGTCCAACCACAACGCCGTTGTGGTTGACCTCCTCAACATGGTACATCCGAGGAGACCCGCCGGGGAGCTGGCGGAAGCCGGCCGCAAGGAAGAACTCCGTTAACTCCCTTGCGCCCCTCCACCTCGAGATCGCCCAAACCCTAAGGGTTCTCTCGACATACACTCCGGCCGGGTAGAGCCTTTCCGGCGTGGTTGGGGGGAAGCGGTAGGTGGAGCCAGTGTACTGCATGGTGGCGGGGTGGCTCGAGGGCTCGAGGGCTCGATCGGATTTGATGGAGAAGAAGGAAGAAGGAGGGCAGAGGAGGCAGAGGATGGGGTGTGGATGAGGAGGGAGAGGAAGACGATACTGCCCGGCTTAAATAGCCCAAGTGCGACGTGGTTTCACCGGTGAAGATGGGCGGGCGGCGTTTGGTGGCGCCCTAGAATTAATGGGCGGGCGGCGTTTGGTGGCGCCCCATGAAAGTACACGAGCGTGTGAGCATGGGCGCAGTTTTGCGGGTGAGCATGCATGCTGCGGGTGGGCACGGGCACGCATGCAACGATGGGAATGGGCACTGCGTAGGCTTGGTCCATGCACCGCGTCAACTCTTGTCGTTGGATTCAAATGAACGGTCCTGATGCCCCAACGAGAGAGGCTGATCCAAACCCCACCGATTCAACCAATCAGGGCGTCTCATGCGGATCGATATACACTGTAGCTAACCCTAGCGCCTGATCTCAACCGTCCACGCACAACGATCGATGACCCAGTAGTGTGCGGGGTTTTGAGGGGTTTTGAGAGGGGTTTTGAGGGGTTTTGAGGGGTTTTGGCTGATTAGGGTTGAGCATAACTAATTCAAAAAAAATCAAAAAAATATAAAACTTGCGCACATAGTCTTATTATGTCGTATAGTAACGAGAAAAAAATATAAATATGATTTACATACATTTTTACGAAAAATCCTTCACAAAATTGTCATTCCTCGAACAATGTAATATGGAGTTCAAGGGAGATAGTAGTGGGCACCCGAGAGTATAGGTGGGGTTTTGAAAATGAAAAGTGTGAAAACCTCACCAAAACTTCATTTTGGATTGACTAAGAAAGATCTTAACTTACTTTTCTCATTTTCATGTTTTTAAACTTGTTTTATATATAATTTTCTATTAAACCTTATTTTTCCAAAAAAAAGAAAATAATAGAAAATTAATTCAATAAATAGTGAGACTTTAGATTTACACTATATAGGTAGAATAGATGTGTAGAAAAATTATTTGTCTGGTTTAGACAAGGTGCAAAAAAACTTGCTTAAATATGAGGTAGTTTACCCTACCTTTGAAGGTCATTTGAGACACACTTTTCATGACTATGAGTTCAACTTACCAAAAGGGCTGTGAATGATCACCAAACAAACATATTTCAGTTGAGGTACTTTAGATAGCATTAAAACATCAATACCACATCCCTAATTCAAATTTGAGCCCAAATTTGAATTTAAATTTGAATTTTATTTGGCTGGTTTAGACAAAGTACCAACAAACAAGTTCGAATAGAAATACGGGCTACATAGTGACTACCAGTACGCACCAAGTTACAAATATTATTACATGCCCCAAATTTCAAAACTGTTCTCTATTCTACCTCTTCCTACCACGTCGCGTGCCCTTCTTCGCCTTAGCACTTCTTGTTTTTGGTTCAACTACACACACAAGTTCACTGATCATCTTGGTTTTTTTCACTGGTCTTTTCAACACCTCGCCAACACCCTCGTGATCAGTGTCTTCAGTCTCAATGTTGACAGCAGTTTCAGTTTCTTTGGTGTGTACCTCAACATGGGTTTCTTCAGTCTGAACCTCGACACGCTCAGGTTCAGTTTCAACCTCGAGAGCAGTTTCTTCAGTCTAATGTTGACTGCAGCAGGATTTTCTTCACTCTGCTCAGGCTGAGGCACACTTCTCTTCTTTCTACCGCCATTGACTCTTGCTTTTTTTGTTGGCCAACACTGTTCAACAACAAGGGGCTGACTTGCTCGCTTCCTCCTGGCCATTGGGAAAATGTTATAGATATAGTAATTGGAAAAAAGCACCAAATCAAAACACAGACAAATAAACAAGAACATACTTTGGCTTATCAGGAGTGTAACGGCATTTGACAGATCCCACTCTGTGCCCAAGTTCCCGGCACAACTTGC